AGACTAAATATCAACATGGATATACTCATCTCACCTGCACAAAAACAGATTCAGTGTTCCTCAAAATCAATAAAAACAGTCAAATGCAAACTCAGAATATTATACAAACCTGCAATAATTAAAAGTGTTAAATAAGACAAATATTATGTATTTAATCCCATTTTATTAACCGATGTCTTTGCTGTTGACCTTCGATGATCCAATTTAACCATACTAATAAGACATTTGTGTTATTGCTGAATAGTGTTGAACTTTCTTCTCCTGCGCCATATTCTTCATGAGATGTGTTTGAGCGTCGCCCTCTACTGTACAGACGTGAATTTACATTTCCTTCAGCCTGAGGTGTATTCGTTTCACTTTTATTGTGAAAGGGCTTTTACGTTTGTAAAATAACTTTTTTATATTAAAAACAAACAAGCAAGCCCTGCCCAGACTTAAAAAGTAACTCAAAAGTAACTTAATGCATTACTTTCCATAAAAAGTAACGTAGTTAGTTACTTTTTTTAGGGAGTAACGCAATATTGTAATGCATTACTTTTAAAAGTACCTTTCCCCAACACCGTTCGTGAGCATTTAAGTGTGCAGTTAAAAACTAGCCTAGAGCTCCATCTGCTGTTAAAATCTAAGCTCAGAATCAATTCCAGAGAGAATCGCAATGCATTCGGAAAAACTCAGAATCGATCCTCGAATCGTGATGCATCGATTCATCGTTCCAGCCCTAGTGTTCAGTGTGAAGCACTAGAGAGTTCTCCGTGGACAGACGTCACACACCTGGCTGATGCTGAGAAGCAGGCCTGTGCTGGGGATGGAGGTCATGCGTATGAGGCCGGGCTGGATGATCTTGTGTCCCGGGACGCTGCTCACCGTGGCTCTGGGTGCGAGGAGCAGCGGAGGAGGCCCTGAGGAGTTCTGCTGCTGTCTGAGGCTGGAGACCTGCAGCGGCGACACCAAGATCGACTGCAGCGCAAGAGACATATATAAGTGGTCAACCGATATATCGGCCGATACTTGGCATTTTTCAAATATCGGCATCAGCTGATACGTTCTTCTGTTTGGCCGATGTGTTCAAGACGGGACTTTTATTTTGACGGCGCTGAAAACGGCACATTCTCCTTCCCTCGTTCGCTGTCGTCAGTTTAACAGTTCTGTCTAATACGGATAGAAGTCTGTCTAATAATCAGATAGAACTCTTAAACAAAGGAATTAATATTTATACAAAAAAGTATTATGACGATTGCTTTTATACTGTTAGTAATAGAAATGCAAACATTATAATACTTTCTCGTTTGCCGTCAGCATTCAGGAAATACGCATTTATATCATTTAAACATTAAAGTTTTTTAATGACTAATGAACATTTAATTTCACAAACCTTGCAGCTGTATCCAGCTGTGAGATCTTGTGAAGTGTGCTTTTGTATATTGCATGATCGCGTGTTCTCGAATTGAATGCGGACAGGAGGAGAGTTCAGCTTCACTGGAGACGCGCAATCAACTCGTGATTTCAAACTATGCTGCGCTTCATGCATTTACCCACTGTCATATTCATGTCATTTCCACTGTGTGCTGCATGTAAAATGAGTGTTACCTTGGCTTTATTTGAAAAAATATGATTCCCAATGCACACAAACTTCCCAGAATACTGAGTGCCCTGTTGGTTACAGTGTTTACTTCCTTTTTAATTATATTTGTATTAAATATGTATTAATTTGTGAAAAATACTTTGTCATCTAAAGTATAAGTACGTTTATTTTACACATTTATTTTTAAATCCATTTTCAAATGATTTCAAATTTCTTAAATATTAATTCAAATAAAATGATATCGGCTTTATATCGGCCACCCGGCTTTCCAAGATATCGGCATCGGCTGTCAAAATACCAGTATCGGTCGACCACTGGTCAGCGCATGTCCAGACAGGTGAGGAGACGCACCTGAGCTCCTCTGAGCAGCGGAGGCATGATGATCTGAGCGCTGTGTTTGGACAGCGGAGGAGGAATCACCGTCCCAGAAGCCCGAGCGGAGATCACCTGACCAACAACAGCAGCACATTCACAACCACACTCTCACATCTGTTCCTGGACACAAACGCTCACGAGACAGGTAACACTTTAATTCACTGCATCCGTTACACACGTTACACATACTTGGAGATGTAATGGTATGAACATTTCTTATCACGATTATAGTGACCAAAATTATCACGGTTATCAGTATTATCAAGGTATTGTTCAAATGTGCTGGAAATGTTCAAAAAGTACTGACACATAAATCACCCATACTCAGAATTAGTGCTCTGCATTTATCCCATCCAAAGTGCACACACACAGCAGTGAACACACACCCGGAGCAGTGGGCAACCATTTTTTTGCTGCGGCGCCCGGGGAGCAGTTGGGGGTTCGGTGCCTTGCTCAAGGGCACCTCAGTCGTGGTATTGAAGGTGGGAGAGAGCGCTGATTATTCACTCCCCCCACCTACAACCTTTGGATTACGAGTCTGACTCTCTAACCATTAGGCCACGACTTCCCCTTATAACAGTTATACCCCACGAATAACAGTCATCATCCACTAATGTATCCAGAAACACAGCGGGTTATGATTATATCACGCTAGTCACTGTCTGTGCTACTGAAGGTCAGGCTGAGAGTGTGTTTGTACCTTCTGTGCTCCGGAGTCTTTGTGTATGTGACTCTGTCTGAGTTTCTTGAGCAGGATGAGTCTGGCCTCCTCTAAACGCAGCTCCTCCTTCAGCTGCGTAACGACGCGCTCGCGCTCCTCCGGAGAACTGCTCTGAAACAGAACATACACTACACATGAGATACACTAAATATACATGAATCTGGCACAGAGAGCGAGCCGTAACACGCGTGTCAGAGGTCACGTGTTTACCATCAGCAGATCCGTGTCCAGCTGTTTGACGTGATTTCCTCCGTTCACCGGCGGACTGGGCGCCTCGTCCGACAGAACGATGACGTCATCAGGCGACGGAGACCGCGCCTCTCTCTTCATCGCGCTGCAATCAAACACAGGCTCGTTAAACGTGACGAGCAGAGCACAAGAACTGTGTTTCACTGCTGCACAGATAAACACACAGCATACGCTGCGGTCTGCAGGATTATTCTCAGCGGATTAATCTGGATTACATCATCAGATCCCAAAAATTAAGTGCTCATAATTAGATTATAATACGCAATTAGACTAGTTACTTTTTTATTGATTTAATGATTGCATATTATTCACACCATTGCAGTAAATGTTTCGTAACTTATTTATTCTCTCATATATTTTTATTTTAGTTCCTTCACAAACACCAGTTTCCATGATAAAAATGGACTATATTTATTTCTTTATAATTTTATATATTCTCTATCTTTTATTTTCTATATTTTTATATATGGTTTCTATATTTATGTTTTTATATAATATATTTTTTCTGAAATAGGGTTGCAAAAAGGTGGAGAATTTCAGGAAAACGTACAAAAATTTTAGAAAAAATTCAGGATTTTTTTGTGTAAAACTTTTGGAATATTTGGGGAATTTTCAGAAACTTTTGGAAAGTTTACGGAAATTCTCTGGAAATGTTCCACCCCTTTGCAACCCTATTCCGAAATGATTATTTTACAAAATGATCTATGCAATCAATGATGGAAGTCAAACGTAATCTAAAATTATATTATTAACCTTTATTAATTGTTAATTTTTATTCTTAGCCCTTCACCCCTTATTTCTAGTTATTTGGGGCCCCTCTCTAGAAATGTTCTGGGTGTTTTTTTTTTATTCAGAGTTGAATTTTGTAAAACAAGTTAATACAGCGGTGAAATCTCGTTTCTACTATTTAAGGTTAATAGCTAAGATAAAACCAGTGACAGAATAACTCCAATTTTAGCATCCTTGCAATGGTTACCTGTTAGATATCGGATCGATTTCAAGGCCTTAGTAATAATTGTTAAAATTTTAAATGGTCTCGCACGCTCGTATTTGTCAGGTCTTGTTATTCTACATAATCCAGTAAAGAATCTGAGGTTTTATTCACTTATGCTCCCTATTGATCGCTTTTAAAATGGCTTTGAAGAAGCATTTCTATATCTTGGCTTTTGAGTCTGATTTGGGAGAGACTTAATATACACAATTTTTTTTCTTTTTTAGATGTTGTGTATGTTATTGTTTCTGTTTGGTTTTTTGATTGCATTGTACAGCACTTTGGGCTGCTCTTGTGGCAGTAGAAATGTGCTATATAAGAAAAATAAACTAAAACCTAATTTTTATCATGTAATTTTTAATCAGTAATTGAGTGAATTTGTAAGTAATGCACCAGTACTGATTACTCCTGTCTGAACTAGTAGTGTTTGTGTTTGTCTGCGGGTCAGTGATGAGATCGATGTCCACTAGAGGGGGCAGATATGAAATAATCCAATCAGCTGTGAGCTCAGAGGAGCAGCGATCACATGACTGCAGTCGGACGTCACTTCCTGTCCTCACACACAGCAAAGGGCAGATGGGAAAATCCCAGCACTCGCTGATCTGAGGAGTCTAACGCTTTCAGAACATCACTAGCAGCTGCAGTACTAGTGATGAGTGACTGGTAAACAGCACTAATTCAGTGAAGGCAGTGTCGACCATCATCAGCACACACACACTCTCTCACACACACACACTCTCTCTCTCTCTCTCACACACACATACACACACACACACACACACACACTCTCTCTCTCTCTCTCTCTTTCTCTCTCTCTCACACACTGTCATGTAAAGGCTCCTCACGTGTTGCTCGTGTCCATGGGCTCGTCTCTCGTCTGCAGCTCTTCTTTGATGGTGGTCTTCAGGACGCTGGAGTCCTGGACCGATCGGGAGTCATCCAGCTTCAGCTGCAGAGATTCCTGCTCTAGAGCGCGCTTCTGACTGCGTGTCTGCCTCACCGCGTCCTCACACATCACCTGAACACACCAGCACACACCATCACATCACTAATGAGCCTAAACTCAAGCCACAGTTTAATCTGTCTGTAAAGAGTGCGCCTGAACAGGTGGAGGAAACCAGACTTCTTGGATTTATGCTAGACAGTAGGCTGAAGTGGTCAAAACAGAAAATATGGTAATAGTTATCAGTTATTAAGTTATTAAGGTTATTAAATTTTTACCACAGTTATTGCATCTCTCAAATTGTGCAAACAATGGTTCTTACTTATTTGAACAACTGTCCGAAACAAATAAATAAACAAATTATAATTCACACTGACTGATTGTAAGTTTCACAGTTTCTCTGAATCTGAGTTGCTTAGGAACAGACAACCAATCAAACGCTGTTTCAGTGCTTAACTCATTAAATATTCACGAACAGTCACACAAACATTCATGTGTGTTCCGAGTCATTAAACAGTTGACAATAATGAAGTGACATCGGTCTGTTTTCTGTCACATGTTCCAATGAGCACGGATGGAGAAACAGGTCATGTGACGCAATCACCCAATGTTAACCTCAAAAATATGCAAATGAGAAGAAATGCACAGTGTGAAATCTGAAAACATGAATCCAGAATCAGTGTGACACAGGATTACATTCAGCAGGCTAATAATCACGTGTGTGTGCGAGAGACACTGTGTGTGTGTGTGTGTGTGTAATATGAATAAATAATCTTTCCATTGATGTATGGTTTGTTAGGATCGGACAATATTTGGCTGAGATACAACTATTTGAAAATCTGGAATCTGAGGGTGCAAAAAAATCTAAATATTGAGAAAATCATCTTTAAAGTTGTTCAAATGAAGTTCTTAGCAATGCATATTACTAATCAAAAATTAAGTTTTGATATATTTACGGTAGGACATTTACTAAATATCTTCATGGAACATGATCTTTACTTAATATCCTAATGATTTTTGGCATAAAAGAGAAATGTATAATTTTGACCCATACAATGTATTGTTGGCTATTGCTACAAATATACCCCAGCGACTTAACACTGCTTTTGTGCTGCAGGGACACATATTTTGTAAAATTCATCAATCATGAATCTCTACAGACAATAGCATCATTATTCAGATCAGATCAGTTCAGTGCTGGTTTCAGTTCAAAGTGACGCCCTGTCTGATTTCCCAGAGGTCAGTGGGTCCGTGATGCTCAACAGGAAGTTTCATCGACAAAGAAAGAAAACCTACCTACAGACAACATGAGCTCATTCCTGCAGGAGAGCCTCAGCACACTTTCACCAGCACACTTCCTGTATGACAGGAAGAGCCACACACACACACACACACGCTTACACATGCGCACGCACACACACACACACTTACATTTACACATGCGCACACACACACACACACACACACACACGCTTACACATGCGCACGCACACACACACACACTTACATTTACACATGCGCACACACACACACACACACACACACACGCTTACACATGCGCACGCACACACACACACACTTACATTTACACATGCGCACACACACACACACACACACACACACGCTTACACATGCGCACGCACACACACACACACTTACATTTACACATGCGCACACACACACACACACACACACACACGCTTACACATGCGCACGCACACACACACACACTTACATTTACACATGCGCACACACACACACACACACACACACACGCTTACACATGCGCACGCACACACACACACACTTACATTTACACATGCGCACACACACACACACACACACACACACGCTTACACATGCGCACGCACACACACACACACTTACATTTACACATGCGCACACACACACACACACACACACACACGCTTACACATGCGCACGCACACACACACACACACTTACACATGCGCACGCACACACACACACAGATAATGGAAAGCTGACTAGTTGTTTTCTCTCTCCCACCCGGTGACATCACAGACACACACATGACCCTTCCCAGGATTCCATGGGGCACACGACGCACTTTCCTGAGAACCGGCTGGAACCGGTAAGTGTGTGACAGAGAGAGACAGAAGGCGAGAGTTAACCCTTTGTGGGTAGAGACGCATCACGACACAAGCGCCGTTTCTGCAGACCACTGGTTAGCACTTCAGGTTAAGTCAGGCATTACTGTTACTAGTTCTCAAACCAGCAGAAAGAGGAGATCAGGAGACACATGGGCTGTTTCTATGATGCTTCATGATGTTCTTTTTGAATGTTTGACAGCCTCAGTTCTCTTTCACTGTCCAAATGCATCTAAAAACATGAAATCTTAAAATCTGTTTGTGAATAAAAAGTTGTTTCACAAAAACATGTGTTCTACAGAAGAAATAAAGCTGTAAGGGTCTGAGGTTAGTCCTCGGATCAGGTGTCTGCAGGCGATAAAATGGCGCCACGGTGTTATGTTACACGTCCCTGGTGGCTGACACACACACACACACACACACACTCACTCACTCACTCACACACTCACACACACTCACTCACTCACACAC